CTTTCGTCCATCTCCACCAACGACAAAAAATTCTTCTTCTTGTCTAATTGGTATGTTTTCTTGATGTTTCTGATGCATTTTGGGTTTGGTCTAGCTGTGTAGCATGACAGTCTTTCAGCAATGTGCAATAAGTAATTGTCTTCCTCGTGTGCCTTCCACTGCTTTTCCTCCGCAATGGGGATCCACACAGTCCTATACTTATCCATCTTCTCTTCTATTCGCTCATTAACGTGCTTGATAAGTTTAATATGAGCTTCAGAAATATCAAAAACTTGAAAAGAACAAGAATAGTTTTTTATCCCTTAGTTTTTCGAAATCCGTGGGATATGTCCGTTTGGACAAAACAAAAAAAGCACAACAATGTAAGAAGAGCGAATAGCAATGCAAACTCAAACTAAAAGGTAGCATGCTAACCGAATTGGCAGTGTAGGTGTCAATGATCGATCCCGACGGAACACCAAAAGAACTGAAGTAATCCTTTTAACATCGCCGAAGATTCAGATATCGGCACTTGGGCTGACCCTACTACTGGCATTTGATATAGAGAGAGCTAAATCAGAAACAAATAATAAAAAATATATTATAAAAAAGAAAAGAAAAAGACTAAAGCAAAAATACCAAACGAAAAAAAAATACATGAGAAGAAATAAAATTGAAGGTAAAAAAAAAAATTGATTTGGGATTGGGATTGGGTTCAATTAATTTATATTGTCGAAATTGGGATTGTGTATTCACCTCTGCACTGCAGCAGGCAAAAGAAAAGAGCTATTCAAGTTTTAAGGATTTCGGCTTCAATTAATTTATATTGTTATTATTTGTCATTCATAATTTATCAAAATTCATACTCACATGGGCCACCAAATCTTCGATTTTGCTACCGATATCTGTTAGAAAAAAATATAAAAAATAAAAAATAAAAAAAAGAAAAGAAAAAAACTAAAGCAAAATTGATAGGCTTTTTAGTACCTGCGCAAACAGGGTTAAAACTCCTACAAAACTTGCACTAATGACAAGGTTATTGTAGTATAAATGATTCTCGCAAGGTCGTTCTCCGCAGGGATTATTAAATAACTCGTAGCAACCAAATTCTAATTAATTATTGCAAAAGAGAAAGTTGAGATGTTTGATTTGAAGACCTTAAGTTAAAAGGAATTTAACTAATAAAAATAAGGCAATACGCAAAATTAAAGCTAAGAGCAAGAGAAACAGTTGTGTTTTTAGAAATCAAATTAAGAAAGCACTAGGGATCCGCCGTCACCTTAACAATTCTATATAGTTCCCCCAATTACTTATGACCTATACATGCATATTTCGAAGGTTAGGTATTCCTAATATATGCCTACTTGGACCCCCAACATAGAACGTATATCACACATGCAATCCGTCTGTGGTATTCAGATCAAATCTAAACATACATGACTCATTAAGTTCTGTGAAACCTTTTGAAAAACCATGCAACCCTTAAGACATGGTATTCATCCTAAGTGAACTTGCACATATTAACCACAAGAAGCCTTCGTCAATTTCAGGGACCGACCTCCGACCAAAATTGCATCAAATTACTTTTCTAAACATCTTAATGGTGATCAAGCATCAAGACACTTAGATAGTTTAACCCAGTGATGAATAATTTGAAAACCTGCATGCATATAATCATAAGCAAATTGGACAGAAACTACATATTCTTGCTAAGGCTCGTGGCCTCACCCTAGCAAAAGAGAGTTAGTTACGCATGTTCACAATTGAAATCCAAGAAAATATCATTAAGAAGAATAAGAATGAAAACACCTGAAAGTCGCGAAAATCCAAAACCCTAGCAATTGCTTCAAAAGCCAAAAAGAAGTAAAAAGGGAGTCTCTAATTGCTGTGAAAAGGAACTTAAATACCTCCTAAAACCTAGCTACCCAATCCCCACAAGGAAACTAAGTTAAAATAAAATAAGACTAGGAAATAAAGTCCAAATTGGATTAGGAGAATCTGCCCATAATCTGCCCAGCCACGTTTTAGTCTCAAATCTCCTCCAAATCTGGCCCAAGATAGCTCGTTTTAAAGATAAAAATATTCCGAACACTTCTCCAGAAGGCCACGAACCCATCCGAGGTCATCTTGGGCTCCAAAAACGCAATACAAGCCCAAAACGTCACTATTCCAGCACTGCACATCGCTCCTTCATTTATTTGCCAGGAAATCATCGCTTGGTGGAAAAGTCTGATATTTTGATACGATCAAGCTAAGTGGCTCACGAACGTCCTCCAACTGGAATTACTCCAAAATTCGTCCATTTGATTATGTTTTGCTCCAGAGGAAGTCGAAAGTCCTATATTGGAAATATAATTCAAAGTATCAAAATTCTTCCAAAATATTAACCAAAATATACTAAGAATGAGGCTAAATATATAATATAAAATCAACTCATCAAAATACCCCCAAACTTAGCTTTTTGCTTGTCCTCAAGCAAAACAAGACTCAAACAAAAATAAAAACTTAATAAACTAAACACCTGGCTAAAACTTAATAGAACAAAATTTCCACCTTCAAGTTGCAATCCATAGGAAATTTTAAAAACTAGAACATCTTTTCAATAGATCCACATAATCCCACCACAGAGTCTAAGCTATTTAGAATCAATTAGAAAAGAATTCACAAACTTCCTTCGGTGTAAAGTGAACCATCATAGTTAAGGAGACTCGACTAAAACCTTTATCTCTCATCCCTTTTATTCATACTTCACATATATTTTTTTCTTTTTTTTTGTTTTTTTGTTTTGTTTTGTTTTTTTTTTTTTTTTTTTTTTTTTCAGTAACAGTAGCGGTTGTGCAATGTCGGTTCCCTTAAGCTTTCGATCCAACCCATGTAGCGAGCTTTAGGTCAATGACTCCCAAACCACTAAGGCTTTAGGGCACTAGGTGTAGAACACCCCTAAGGACTTAATAACTCAAGCTGAAAAGGCTACGAAACCAACTAATCACCCTGCCTCATGCCAAAACTCTACCATTTAACTCGAGAATCACTGCTGATTAGGCAGGACTGGCCCGGTTATTAGGCAAAACTTCGGGTGAGGCAATTATTACTTTATAACACATACTAACTTATTTATATAGAACAAAAATTAAAACACACTGGGACAAACAGTAAGTATTTCAATCTTACTCCCCACAAACCATGTTGGTGTGATGTGCAATTTTCAAAGTATAATTCATAAATTAGTGTCTAAGCAACAATAAACAGAAAAGACTCTATTGTGGGACTAATCTTCACCATGTCTATTTGTTCTAATGTTTAAAATAATCTATGGATATTAACTTAAAAACGAAAATTTTAAACAAGACTCTAAAAATGAAAAATCTAAAATTTACTTTCCCACCCCCAAACTTAAATCACACATTGTCCTCAAGGTGTGGAAATTAAACAGAAGAAACAAGAATAGAAACAAAACAACGGAATCCTAGAAGACGGAGAATGAAAATGAAAAGATAAAGGAGCAGCCAAAGAAGTAAAGTAGGAGAGAAAAAATAAAATAAAAATAACAGAAAAGAACATAAAACCAAAAACAGAAATTAAAAGAAAAAGAAAAGGAAAAGAAATAAAAGAAAACTAACACACCAGGAGTCGAAGGCTTGACCTTGTAGCTGGGAACTGGCGCACATACCAACACGGATAAGTAGGCATTTGTGTCAAAACCTCGCGACAGCTACTATATACCCTGATGTAGCTGCCGCATCTGTCAATTGAAAAATATTAGATCCCCTTCTACTAGCCCGAGCTCAGAGCCACAAAGGTTCTCCTTTGTCCATTCCATTTCGCAGAAGAAAAAGAATATTGCTGGTATAGACCAAAGCCTCTCGCTGTGGCTAGAGAATCAGAAAAGCATCTCTGAGTTCTCTCTTCTTCATTCTCACCAACACTCACAAGCCTTTGCTCGCTTTCAACCCAATCACACCAGCATTTTCAGTTGTGTGAGGACCCCCAATCGCTACAGAGCCGAGACAACAAGAGCAAACCACTCTGAGTTGCCAAATCCGCGTCAGGCTGAGGTAAAATGTTTGTTCCCCAGAATTTGTTGTGGGTCCTGATCTGTAGATGTGTGAGTATGATTTCGACATGTGCACAGTGTAGGAAGGTTGCAGATCCAAGAGAAGGCAGTCAGCACACAAGCTCAAAGGACAAAAAAGCACAAAGCCCGGAGGACCCCCAATCTGTGCACCTCATAGGTATAATTTCGAATCCCTGCAAATGTTGTTGTTGGAAATTTGGTAGACTTGCTGCTGGGTGCATGATTCCAGTGTAGAATTGCTGCTGGGTGCAGGATTCCAGCCTAGGATTTTTTTTTCTTTTTTTGGCTTTTGATGCTTGCTGCTGATTGTTGTGTCTTTCCCAGTGTAGACTTGCTGCTGGGTGCAGGATTCCAGCCTAGGATTTTTTGCTTTTGATGTTTGCTGCTGATTGTTGGTTGTCCTGCATTGAATCAAATATGTGTTAGGAGTAGAAAGAAAATAACTAGAAAAGGAAAAACAGAAACAAATATTTTTGTATTTTTTTGTTTTTGTTTAGTTTTAAAATAAAAGAAGTAAAGAGTTTAGAAAGAAAAAATAATAATTTTGGGTTGCCTCCGAATAAGTGCTTTATTTTAAGTCTGTAGCTAGACGTTGCGGAATCTGGTGGTCAAATCACTGGTTCCTTCAGAGTCAAAGACTCGGTTGCAATGTCAAAGGGTGTCTCCACGTAGGGTTTCAGCCTGTGACCGTTGACCTTGAATGTGTTGCCTTCAGCTTCATTAGTGATTTGAACTGCTCCATGAGGAAAAACTTGAGTCACCAGGTAAGGTCCAATCCAGCGAGATTTTAATTTCCCTGGAAATAACTTGTGCCTTGAACTGTAATAACATAACCTTTTTCCCTGGCCGAAATTCCTTCCGCTAAATTTTACTGTCATGAGATGCCTTAGTTCTTTCCTTGTAGATGTGAGAATTATCATAAACACCTTGATGAATTTCCTCTAGCTCATTTAACTGCAATTTCCGTTTTTTCGCTTTTTCCCTTGCTGAGCAACTTATCTATATTTGAACTTGCCTGAAAGCTGGCTTGAACCATATTGTCTACCACATCAATGTGCATACATTCCTGCTGTTCAGCAGGACGTTTTGCTCCTTCAAACAAATTAAAAACCACAGATTGGTCTTGAACTCGTAAAGTTAATGTTCCAGCTTCCACATCAATTAAAGTCCTAGCTGTTGCCATAACGGTCTTCCCAAAATAATAGGTGTTTGCATGTCTTCATCCATATCCAAACCACAAAATCTGCAGGAAGATAGAGATTATCCACTTTAATAATGAGGTCTTCAATAATTCCCCTAGGGTAAGCAACTGAACGGTCTGCCAGTTGTAGAATAACTGATGTAGGCTTGATTTCTCCGTGTCCTAGTCTCTGAAAAACAGAAAAAGGCATTAAATTAATACTTGCACCCAAATCAATTAAAGCACGTTTAAAATTAGAATTTCCAATTGTGCATGAAATTGTAAAACTCCCTGGGTCTTGTTTCTTTGGAGGCAGTTTATGTAATAAAACTGCGCTGCACTGTTCTGTAAGAATAACTTTTTCAAAATCCACGAGCTTCTTTTTCTTTGTGCAAACATCCTTTAAAAACTTGGCATAAGATGGAATGTTCTTAATTGCATCAATCAATGGGAGATTGATCTGAACTTTGGCCAACGTCTTCATAAAATCTGTCAACTGTTGATCTTTAACTTTGGGCTTCAACCTTTCGGGATAAGGCATTGGAGGCACATAAACACGTTCTGCAGTTTCTGCAGCAATTTTTGCACTGTTTTCAGATCTGCCCATAGACTCTGTAGAATCTGTAACAATATCAGATTCTGCAAAATTTCCTGAATCTGTTTGTGGCTGTGATGCTGCCTGCGAATTTCCAACACAAATTTCACCTCTATTGTCATAACTTTTACCCGAACGTAGAACTCGAACTGCCTTACAATCTGCGCCTCCCCTTGGATTATGTTCCGTTTGGCTAGGAAATGTACCTGGTGCTCTTTCTGAAACTTGGAATGCAATCTGCCCCATTTGTTTTTCTATGTTTTTCACTGTTGCCTGCAGATTTTGGAATTCTTGACTGGTGGCATTTGCTAATTTTTCAATTGCAACCTCCCAAGCAACCTTAGGCGCAGCAGTTTGCTGTACCTGTTGTTGAAATTGTGGCCTTGCAGGCTGATCTCTGTCCCACTTAAAATTAGGATGATCTCTCCAACCCGGGTTGTAAACATTTGAATACGGGTCATATCGTGGACGCTGAAAATTATTAAATGCATTAACTTGTTCCGCTGCAAATTCCGGATAAGCATCTTTATGCGGACAGCTCAAAAAATCATGGGTTGTCACATTGCAAATGCTACAGGCAGCTGGTAAAGGTTGCTGTACAGCAACCTGTGAACCTGGAATTCTTTGTAATAACATGTCAAATTTTGCATCAAATCTTTCAAGCTTTTTCTCCATTTTTTCAATTTGTGCCGACATATATGGAGAACCATTAGATATCTCAAAAACAGACCTTGATTGTGGTTGCTCAACTGCCCATTGCTGTGTATCTGCTGCCATTTTTTCAAATAATAAACAAGCCTCTTGTGCATTTTTATCCTTGTATGATCCTCCGCATGAAGCGTTGACAAGAGTTTTTGTTGTCATATTTAACCCTCTGAAAAATATATGCACTTGATCCGTACTGCTAATACCAGAATGTGGACATTTTCTATTCAACTCTTTAAACCGTTCCCACGCCTCATGAAACTCTTCATTTGGTTTTTGGGCAAAAGATAAAATTTGAGTTCTCATGTCGAGAGTCTTTGAAGCTGGATAATACTTGTTTAAGAATTTTTCACTGAGTTGGTTCCAAGTGCTAATGCTTCCAGATGGAAGTGTGAGGAGCCATCTCCTTGCTTGATCTTTCAATGTGTAAGGAAATAGACGAAGCTTAATAGATTCAGCTGAGAATCCTTTCACCAAAATATTCTTGCATCCCATTAAAAATTCTGCAATGTGCATGTTAGGATCATCGGTTGATAACCCATGAAATGTAGGTAGAATACTCAACATGTGATGCTTGATTTCGAATGTAGACCCTTCTTCCACTGCTGGATATGTAATGCAACCTGGTATGTTAGTGGCATGAGCTGTTAAAGAATTACCCAAAGGGTCACCAGCCTCTGGAATAACAAAAGCCATTGTTTCTGTACTGTGCAGGTCCTCAGAATATAAAGACTGCAGAAAAGTCCCTTGCAGTGAAGGAACCCACAGAAAATTTTGCTCCCTGCGTCTCCTCTTTAAAGATTGCTCAGGTTCTGGATCAAACGGAAACAATTGCTGAACGTGTGCTGACCATGCACAGATTGTAATATGCACTGCCTTGCTGTGATCTGCAAAAATAAATAAAAACGAAAATTATTTCTTTTCTTTTTTTTTCTTTTTTTTATTTGTATGTACAGCAATAATTAATGCAGAATCTGATTAGAACGAATTATTTTAAATAATCCCCGGCAACGGCGCCAATTTCTTGATAGGCTTTTTAGTACCTGCGCAAACAGGGTTAAAACTCCTACAAAACTTGCACGAATGACAAGGTTATTGTAGTATAAATGATTCTCGCAAGGTCGTTCTCCGCAGGGATTATTAAATAACTCGTAGCAACCAAATTCTAATTAATTATTGCAAAAGAGAAAGTTGAGATGTTTGATTTGAAGACCTTAAGTTAAAAGGAATTTAACTAATAAAAATAAGGCAATACGCAAAATTAAAGCTAAGAGCAAGAGAAACAGTTGTGTTTTTAGAAATCAAATTAAGAAAGCACTAGGGATCCGCCGTCACCTTAACAATTCTATATAGTTCCCCCAATTACTTATGACCTATACATGCATATTTCGAAGGTTAGGTATTCCTAATATATGCCTACTTGGACCCCCAACATAGAGCGTATATCACACATGCAATCCGTCTGTGGTATTCAGATCAAATCTAAACATACATGACTCATTAAGTTCTGTGAAACCTTTTGAAAAACCATGCAACCCTTAAGATGTGGTATTCATCCTAAGTGAACTTGCACATATTAACCACAAGAAGCCTTCGTCAATTTCAGGGACCGACCTCCGACCAAAATTGCATCAAATTACTTTTCTAAACATCTTAATGGTGATCAAGCATCAAGACACTTAGATAGTTTAACCCAGTGATGAATAATTCGAAAACCTGCATGCATATAATCATAAGCAAATTGGACAGAAACTACATATTCTTGCTAAGGCTCGTGGCCTCACCCAAGCAAAAGAGAGTTAGTTACGCATGTTCACAATTGAAATCCAAGAAAATATCATTAAGAAGAATAAGAATGAAAACACCTGAAAGTCGCGAAAATCCACTCACTGGACTTCCTCTAATTCATAAATCAATTTATGTATTATTGGCTTAGATTAATATATATATATATATATATATAATAAAATAAAAATAGAGATGAAAATAAAATAAAAATAAAAACAAACAAGCAACCGCTGAAGACACTTTTAACGTTTCCTTCGAAACTTACATAAACCCAATTATAAATACATATATATTATATTATATATATAAATATATAAATATATATAAGGATTTATAATTAACTTATCACAGATAAGTAGGAAAATGAGAAAATTATTAAAATAACATTGACCACGTGAAATCTTAATTTCAATAACAACAGCTTAATTGAAACATATATTTCCTCTTTTACTTATAAAACAAACTCATTGCTTAAGAAATTAATTGTGATCAGTATAAAATCCTTAAAATTTAAGAAATTCTCAATTCTTGTCTCCTTATCATAAAATAGGTGTTAAACTGTTACTCCAAAAATACCAAGATAATATTACCAATATTAGTTAAACATCTTATACCCAAATATTCTTCCACCTAGGCGTACCCCCATTCCTGATACATCAGTTTCATTAATACCGTCAATTCCAATATAAATCCATCAATTCCAGTAATAATCCATCAATTCCAATATTATTCCGTCAATTCCAGTAATAATCCGTCAATTCCTTGTATCCCGTCAATTCCATCCTCGCAGGCCTTAGAAACACAAAGTTGACTTAGTCGCATTCCTCGCAGGCCTCGGGAACACAAAGTTAACCCGAGCAGTAATCCTCGCTGGTCTCGGAAACACAAAGTCAATCCGAGCCGCAATACTCGCATCACACGGTTCAGGCGTCCCCGAAACTCATGGGGTATTATCAAAAATAACAAAACTATTTAAGGCAACTGGGGGTGGGGGTGGGGGGGGGGATATCCAAAACTTATCACAAACTTTCCTTTATCCCACAAATCCATTTTTCAAATAATTCCATTTCGATACTATAATAATGATCTTAATAGTAATAGATAATTAAATAGATAAATCAATAACTAATTAGATAAATCAATAAATACTAACTAAATAATTAAATAATTAAATAACTATTATCCACTAACTTACTAATATTCATAACCGAGCCTAAGGCTCACTTTCACAACCCACCAATCTGATAATCCAAACTAGCTCATTCCATAACTTCAATTATCAATATAACACTGCAAAACACTTTCCTAATCTCAACATAATCAGAATAACTCGACTATCGGACAAGACTCATTCACAGGGTCGTTTTAGTACTTCTAGAAAGGTAAAACTACCTCGGAAGACTCATGGTCATCCGAGGGGTCAGGCTGCCCAAACTTGTTCAACCGAGCCCGCGGGGTCCACGACCTCCAATTTCCGATCCGAAAGTTCCTATGGGTTCCACACATTTTAATAACCATGTCCTGCAAGTTTGGCCTGAATCAGATGGTCGGATTAATCACGATCGTACAATCGGACGGTTATCATTTAATTAAACTTCGAATTATTGAATCGGAATATCCGGGACTCCGATTTCCGATTCATAATTCGCGAAATCCTACAGGATCCTAGGAGTGCCCAAATCAACTTATTTTAAATTGGAGATGATCCAACGGTTCGAACATATCAAACCTGGATAAAGCACAATAGGCGAAATCCGTTCAACATTCAAACGATTTCCGAATTGAAATCCGAGCACACCTATGTGCTTGTGACAACAAAGAGATCACATCGGGACACAACGCCCCTCTGCTACAGTGTCCACGCACAGCCACACGCACCGGCAGTGCATGGGTGTCCTAAACCGAGGGTCTCTACATACAGACTTTCTTCAACTACGACAACGTCCAATTCGAACGGCAAGTGGCCGGAATTTCAATTTGAATACCGGCCAAACTTAAGGTTGTAAATCGAGTTACCTAGGCTAGAAATCAATCCAATCATACCCAACCATCAGCTAGAGCTCGAAAAGTAGGTGAGAAACCATACCTCGTTTGCCAGAGATGGTGGCCAGAAACGGCCGGAAAAGACCACGAACCGCTGCTGATTTTCGCACAACAATTTGGGCTCGTTTTTTGCTCAACTTTGGCTCGACTTTCCGGTTGATTCACTTGGAATCAAAGCTCGATATGGATCTGTACGGAAAGAGGAGAGATAGACGAAGCTTTTGCAAGTTGTGGCAGCCCATTTGGTGGCTGGACGGAGGAGAAATGGCTATCTAAAGTGGGCTGGTCGTGAAGATCGCGAGGAAGACGAAGAAAAAAGATCTAGGTTTTAAAACTAAACTTACGATTGTGCCACTAAACAACTTCTTTTGATCGTAACTTCTTCATTACAACTCCGATTTGAGCCCACTACGTGTTTACGAACTCGTCTCGATGTGCTCTACGCAATGGTTCGATTGAAATTTCCAAATTCGTTCTTGATCAAAAAGCCAACTTTAATACTAATAAAATATTCCAGAGGCGAAATAATCTTTTAATTGAATAAATTAATAATTAAATATTAATTTAGGTTCGGGTTATTATAATGTATTCATTGAATATTATAAGAAGAGGAATGCTAGCAACCCTTCTTAACCTTATGTCCATAAAAGAATAGCAATGCAAACTCAAACTAAAGGTAGCATGCTAACCGGATTGGCAGTGTAGTTAGTGCCATTGATTGATCCCAAGAAAACATCAAAATAATCAAAAATTGTAACATCCCACATCGACCAACGGAGAGGGGGTGATGTGCCTTATATGTGCACACCACATCCATCCATCTAGCACGAGGCCTTTTGGGAGCTCACTGGCTTCGGAGTCATGGGAACTCCGAAGTTAAGCGAGTTGGGGCTAGAGCAACCCTAGGATGGATGACCCACTGGGAAGTTGCTCGTGAGCTCCCAGAAACAAAACCGTGAGGGCAGAGAGGGGGGCCCAAAGCGGATAATATCGTGTTACGACGGAGCCGATCCCGGGATGTGACAATTTGGTATCAGAGCGACTCTATCGTGTGGTGCGAGTGTACCGACGAGGACGTCGGGCCCCTAAGGGGGGTGGATTGTAACATCCCACATCGACCAACGGAGAGGGGGTGATGTGCCTTATATGTGCACACCGCATCCATCTAGCACGAGGCCTTTTGGGAGCTCACTGGCTTCGGAGTCATGGGAACTCCGAAGTTAAGCGAGTTGGGGCTAGAGCAACCCCAAGATGGGTGACCCACTAGGAAGTTGCTCGTGAGCTCCCAGAAACAAAACCGTGAGGGCAAAGAGAGGGGCCCAAAGCAGACAATATCGTGCTACGGCGGAGCCGATCTTAAGATGTGAAATTTGGTATCAGAGTCACTCTGTCGTGTGGTGCGAGTGTACCGACGAGGACATCAGGCCCCTAAGGGGGGGTGGATTGTAACATCCCACATCGACCAACAGAGAGGGGGTGATGTGCCTTATATGTGCACACTGCATCCATTTAGCACGAGACCTTTTGGGAGCTCACTGGCTTAGGAGTCATGGGAACTCCGAAGTTAAGCGAGTTGGGGCTAGAGCAATCCCAGGATGGGTGACCCACTGGGAAGTTGCTCGTGAGCTCCCAGAAACAAAACTGTGAGGGCAGAGAGGGGGCCCCAAAGCGGACAATATCGTGCTACAGCGGAGCCGATCCCGGAATGTAACAAAAATTAATTGTGCCAAAATCTCTGAAGATTCAGATATCGTCACGAGGGCCGATCCAATTACTAATAATTTGAAAGATCTTAGGCATTGCATTGGAATTAATAAATGTGTTTATTCATTAGCTTTTTCATTGTGACCTTTGTTGGCTTTTGTTGCTCAATTTGTATCCATATGCTTGTGTGGTTTTTTAAGTGGCCACATGACTTGTATTGTGTGGCCTTGCACATATAATAGTAACGCCAGTAGGAAAATATTTTTATTCATCATTTTAACCCAAAGTGTATGCTCATCGCCTTTCTCAACACTTGACACGTGTCCATTCCAATAGTCTCTTCAAAGTAAATTTTTCAAGTTGTGGTTTGTTAACGTACGTGGCAATTTGAAGGGTAAAGTTTTGTACCCCAACCACCTCTTCAATGTAATTAATTCGATCTAAGTGGGAATAACGCAATTGATGACGTACATCAGTGGTGAATTCATTGAGGTTGTTAATAGTACATGTCAATGCAGAGCTGCCTTCAATTTCTTTGGATATATGTGCGCTACTATAACATTATATTCTATACACATATGTTCATATGATTTTAAGTTTTTCACAACGTTCAGTCTCCAGAACATGTGAAAATGACTACTGAACTTGAGAACCCTTGCCACTAAAAAACTTGAAGGACGTCATCGTCTGCATTATTTCCAACGTCGTATGATGTTGTAGTAGTGTATATATCCAAAGAAATTGAAGACAACTCTGCACTGACATGTACTATTAACAACCTCAATTAATACACAATATAATGCAAATGATGACATATCTGTGGTGTATTCATTGAGGTTGTTAATAGTTCACGTCAGTGAGAACTGTCTTCAATTTCTTTGGATATGTACACTACTATAACATTATATGCCGCTGTCAATAATGCAAACAATAATGTATGTCGGTGGTGTATTAATTGAGGTTGTTAATTATACATGTCAGTTCTTCAATTTCTTTGAATATGTACTCTACTATAACATCATATTCTATACACACATGTTGATATCATTTTATATTTTTTACACGTTCATATAATGTTTTTCACAATGTTCATTCTCCAAAACATGTGAAAAAATAACTATTAAAATCGAGAACCCTTGTTATTAAAAGAATTGAAGGGCGACTTTTGATCAATTATGCCTGCTTGCTGGGCCAGACTGGCCATTGCCATATTTGATTGTAACATATGAATATCATGCACATGGCAGTTTTAATGATTATTTAATGTAAGTTGGTGAGACTATTTGTTGGACTTTAAAAATGAGATATTTAATCATATATCCATTCTTAGCATTAAAACTACAAATAAACCCTACATCATTTAATTTTTATAAACATACCCAAAAAATGACAACTCGACCTATTGAATTTAATTTTGACTATTAAATTACTTTGATGCCCTATTGAGTGTTTTGGGGTTTTTTTTTATGAGGTTTTGGGGTTGGGTTTGTTTTAAGAAATCAATGGTATTTTTGTAATTTAAAAGAAGTTAAAAGCCTTTTTGTTATATTGTAAATGAGCTTTAGGTGTGTTTCTAAAGTCCATTTCATATAGGGTTTTTTTCTTTCTAAATTTTTTTAATATATAATTTGGGCTCCTATATTGGGTATAATAGTGAATCTCCCTTTAAAAATTCTTTTATTTTTTCCTTTGGAAATTCTTTAATCTTTTATTCTTTTAACTTTAACAAGTGTCAAAATGTCAGTTGTTGTTAGGATATGCTACTCCTTAATTTTAAGGAGCCAAACCACATGATGCAACTAACAAAGGAAAAAGAATTTAGTCAAATGAAGAAAAACACAAAAATGAAGAAAAACGAATAACCGCATAAAAACACAAAAAAATGACTACATTGTAGTCAAATGGATATATATTGCAGACTTAGGTTTTGATCTCTTTAGTTTTCTTTGTCTATTGCCATTCCTCTTTCTAGCTCTCAATGTAGATGCAGAACTACTGTCTAGCATTTATAATAATAAATCTGGTTTCCTGTTCACACAAATCACCGAGAGTTAATGCCCTTGACTAAGTGCTAAAATATGAATATGGTTTGAATACTTTGGGTTAGGTTTATTCTTTTCCATAATGAGGTGTATATAGGAGTTTACATAAGTGCTTTTCAAGAAAATAGATACAGTAATCAATTAGGATAGTATCTCCTAATTATACAATGATTTGTCAACTATATAGAATAGGAAAGTAAATCCCTTAATTAATCAAGGAAATAAAGCTCCTTGATTAATTAGGAGACTCATGTCAACACTCCTCCTCAAGTTGGTGCATATATATTACCAATGCCCCCAATTTGGTAAATGAGTCATGAAATACTCTGCCACAAACAACTTTTGTTAAGATATCTGCCAGTTGATCTTTTGATTTTACGAATGGTAAGCGGATGATCTTCTTCCCAATTTTTTCTTTGATAAAATGTGTATCCACCTCAACATGTTTGGTTCGATCATGTTGAACTGGGTTATGGGCAATATCGATAGCTGACTTCTTGTCATAATGCAACTCCATTGGCTTTTCTGGCTTGAAGCCCAATTCTATCAAGAGTCTTCTTATCCACAATAATTCACAAACTTTGTGAGCCATTCCTCGATACTCTGCTTCTGCACTAGACCGAGAAATCACATTTTGCTTTTTACTCCGCCAAGTGACTAGGTTACCTCCCACGAATGTAAAGTAACCAGAAGTAGAGCTTCTATATGTAATGGAACCAGCCCAATTAGCATCTGTATATTCAACAACTTCAAGATCTCCTTTTTTGAGAACATTAATCTTTTCGCAAGGACTTACTTTAAATATCTTAAGATCCAATCAACTGCATTCCTATGAGAAACACTAGGCGAATGTATAAACTGACTAACCACACTCACAACATATGCAATATCTGGTCTTGTGTGTGCCAGGTATATCAACTTTCCAACAAGGCGTTGGTATTGTTCCTTATTGGTTGGTTCTTGGTCCATGTCTTCACACAACTTGTGATTCATCTCAATGGGTGTGTCAGCAGGCATACATCCAAGCATTCCTGTTTCAGTGAGTAGATCCATTACATACTTCCTTTGAGACAAAAATATAATAGTTTTTGACTTTGCTACTTCGATTTTGAGAAAGTACTTCATATCACCTAAATCCTTCATCTCAAATTCCTAAGACAAATACTTTTATAACTTCAGTTGCTCTTTTGCGTCATTTCCAGTTACGATTATGTCATCTACATAAACAATCAATGCAGTAAGTTTTCCTTCATCACACTTCAAGAAGAGGGTGTGATTTGAATTATTTTGTGTATATCCAAAATTCTTCATAGATTTAGTAAATCTGCCAAACCATGCCCTGAGAGATTGCTTTAACCCATATAAGGACTTTCTGAGCTTGCAAACTTGATTTTTCTTGTCATGAACTGAATTACATCTTGGGGGTAAGTCCATATACACTTCTTCTTCCAAGTCTCCATGTAAGAATGCATTTTTGACATCAAACTGATGTAGTGGCCAATCGAGATTTGCTGCTAGAGATAATAGGATTCTAATAGTGTTAATCTTAGCTACTGGGTCAAAGGTCTCCTCGTAGTCTATCTCATATCTCTATGTGTACCTCTTCATCACCAATCTAGCTTTATATCTTTCAACGGATCCATCTGCTTTGAGTTTCATAGTATAAATCCACCTACATCCTATTGTCTTCTTTCCATGAGGTAACGTCAGTAAAACGACAACTATCGATGTCTTAGAGAAAACACACGTAAATGATGGATTTAAAAGCGCCATGCAAATGGTCAACCATGTCCATTTCTATACTCTTACCGACATGGTAAGTAAAATAAGAATGACGAACAGTTGAATACGACAGACGTAGTGGACATATTAACCACGACGGTTAGTTTCCAATAACTGTTGTTCAAATATTTATCCACGGTGGTTTACATCCATTGTGCATTGTGAAAAGTTTTTTGAACAACCATGTGGTGATATTTGGGTCGTGGTTATAGAATGTTATGACAGTGAAGGTTAAAATTGTACCATGTTAACCACTTCAGACGTTAGTGATTTATAAAACGTGTTGTCTAAGGTTTTCCAAGTCATCATTTTAACTTTTTTTAAAAAATCAATTAGATGTCGGTTCTCGCAAAACTCTGCCGTCGTATATTGGTAACAAGGTAGTGTATTCCTCGGATGCAACGTGGAAGATGTTATAAGCGATGGTCATTTTACACTTGTGTCGTGGTTAATCTAAGGTTACATTATAAATCCTGACATGTAATATGCTTTAGACGTATTGTCACATCCCGGGATCGGCTCCGCCGTAGCACGATATTGTCCGCTTTGGGCCCCCCTCTCTGCCCTCACGGTTTTGTTTCTAGGAACTCACGAGCAACTTCCTAGTGGGTCATCCATCTTGGGATTGCTCTGGCCCCAACTCGCTTAACTTTGGAGTTCCCATGACTCCGAAGCCAGTGAGCTCCCAAAAGGCCTCGTGCTAGATGGAAGCGGGCATGTACATATAAGGCACATCACCCCCGCTCCGTTGGTCGATGTGGGATGTTACAATCCAACCCCCTTAGGGACTCGACGTCCTCGTCGGCACACTCGCATCACATGGCAGAGTGGCTCTGATACCAATTGTCACATCCCGGGATCGGCTCTGCCGTAGCACGATATTGTCCGCTTTGGGCCCCCCTCTCTGCCCTTACGGTTTTTTTTCTGGGAACTCACAAGCAACTTCCCAGTGGGTCACCCATCCTGGGATTGCTCTGGCCCCAACTCGCTTAACTTTGGAATTCCCATGACTCCGAAGCCAGTGAGCTCCCAAAAGGCCTCGTGCTAGATGGAGGCGGGCATGTACATATAAGGCACATCACCCTCTCTTCGTTGGTCTATGTGGGATGTTACACGTATGTTCTTTTATGAAAGCGTCGTCTAAGGTTGTCGAAGTTTTCCTTTTTTTTTGAGTTTTATAGAAATTAGACGTCGGTTTTTGTTTTTGGTTGACATAGTATATCTTAACCACGTCGTTGTCGACGTTATAAATGATGTAATATTTTCAAATGGAGTCGTAGTTAAAATTTGTTACGTCGGTACATATGGAGTTCTTGACATGTAATCCTCTTTAGACGTCTCTATTTTCCTAAAAGCGTAATCTAAGGTTGTCAAAGTTGTCCTTTTTTGTTATTTTTATAGTAATTAGACGTCGGTTTGTTGTTTGAGATGACGTTGTATGTCTTAACGACGTCGGTTATTTCCCGTTGTTGTTTTATGTATCAAAAGATGGCGGTCGATTTCACGACAGTTTAAAAACCTTCTAGACAACGGTGGATTCCCGTCATCTATTTCAATTTTTGTAGTAATGATTCTAGAATTGTGACTTAACACTTATGAGGCATTTGATATGAACGGTAAGACATATCATTTTTCATGCACTCAAAATATGAACGTTTTGTTTAATGTCGTATATGATTTTAGTTCATGATCTTCCTTGATTCTAGATCAGTTAGAATTCATTTAGGAGTTTCTCTTTTTGGGAAAGTTTTGACTTAAATCAATTTGGTTTTCTACCTTCCCATTTTTACTTCCCTTGCTTTTCTATCAAGTTTTGTTTGATTGCAATTCACCTTTATAATCAGATACTCTGTGAAAAATCAATGGTGATATTCTTGGAAATTGCTTCGAGAATATCAAGGTCCTTTGAAAGAGTAATTGTGAAAAAAACTCCTTGTTTTGGTTCGTTCTTTGATTGGAGTTCACGTGAGTGTCAACAATAATAGGAAACAAATCATTGGTTTTTTATGTCAAGTTTTAAAAGGTGAAGATTATGTTTTCGTCGCAAGTTTTCTTCCTCAAGAAGAAAACGACTATATAACAAGGCTTTGTGCCTTTCAATTCAGTAGAGCTTTCACGATCATATTTTCAGTCCATAAACTTTGGAAAGTTGAGTTTTATTTGAGATAAATCATCAACTGTTCCATGTTTACTTGGGGATTTATCAAACACTTTATCATTCATATTGCATTCATCTGCATGTTCGGTGACTCATATGGTTGAGGGCACCAAGATCGTGGTGACGGTTTTTCTCGGCGAGCTTGAAGCAATCGTGACCGATATTGCGTTCAACATAAGGAGTGTCGAAAGATCATCCCATGACAGAAGTTGAATTACGAAGAAGTCAGTAAACATCATCTAAAATGTGTCTAGGATAAGTGTGTGAGTACTTCTTGTAATCATCATTCTATAGTGGATTTGTTTTGGAGTGAGTACTTCTTGTAATCATCGTTCTACTGAAGTTTATTTTATTTATTAATTATAATTTTAAATTAGCCTATTCACTCCCCCTCTAGGCCTTTCTTAACCATCCTACAGATAATTTCAGCAATTAAAATGTTTTTAAATTATGCAAGTTTGAATATGAACCTTCAGTTGAATGAGTTGGCAGAATTCTGCTGTTATTGGAAATCAAAACACACAAACTAAACTTCTTACCAAAACAAACCTAGAATGGCAATAAATTCCAATTCAAATACCTCAAATTCCCCAGTTAAGCATCTAAGTTGGGGCTAAAACTAACCTAACAAACCTATTTTTAGGCCAGACAAAGTTAACATATGATTTTTCTATGTGCTGTTATTTTGGCCATTATCAAACACATTTCACTACATTATACAAGCATTCAGTCAATTTTAAACAAAATTCAAGTTCACCAAACATATCCAATTGCAGATAATAACAAAAACTATGAATTTCAACATATCGAAACTCCTTCAAATTGAAAAATTAAGCTTTTTGCCCATGTGTGGAGAAAATGGGATGAACAAATTTATAAGACACATACAGTACAAAAGCAATATCAGAACTCACATATGTTGACAACGACAATGGAGGTCGCCATTGTGGCTTTGGAGTCGCGACAGTCACTTCGATGTGGAGGTCGTGCTTGCGCCGGCTTCGCTATGGTCAAACTAGGGTTCCAAATTTTAGGACAACTGGGTTATGATGATGGATGGGTAGCGAACTAGATTTCACAGTGGCGACATGCCTCGCAACATGGAGTTCAGCCAATATTTGGGAGATTGCGAAAACAGAGAGGGAGGACTTGGGAGATTTTGTCTTTCAAAAAAGAGGTGCTAAAGGGTTGATAGATATGCTTTTATATGGAGGGCACTTAGGTAATTTCAAGTGCCCAAGTGATTATATTATAAGATTTGTAAAGTGATCATTTGAAAATGAAAGTTGTGCAAAGTGATCATCTCCGCGTACTTCCCTATTACCTTTCAAATCTTTTAGTTAAATGAAAGGCTAATTAATATTTAGTTTATTTTATAAATAAATAATTTATTAACTTAATTATCGAGCCGAACAGGCTGTTTATAGGCTTACAAATAAAGGCTCAGGCCTTATCATTTATCTAACGGATCAAGTTAAACCTGCCCATAAGGGTTTCGCCATTTTGCTACCATATCAGCAAGAGTGTTCTTAAGCCCATTATACCTCACACTATTTCTGAAATTCCCCATTCACTTTATTCTTAAATAAAATCAGTACGTAATAATACATAGTCAAGATGAAACGAACATTTGTCCTACAAAGCTTGGTACCCACACAAGGGAAAAATAAATAAATAAATAAAAACACACTGAAAAAAGAATAATAAGCATTCATCCCGCAAAGCTACTTAATGGTGTACACGGTCTGCACGACGGTGAGAGCCAGAAGTATAGTAGCTGCAATGAGAGAAATGGCACTCCATGGGTTTGCAAAATAGTCACGGTTCAACTTTTCAAGCCACCTGTACCATGTGGTCTCGTAATGCTTATTCACTTGAGCGCGGAGTTCCTTATAGCAGAACTTGTTGAGAACGGTGTCGTTGCAGAGCTTGCTGAAGTACTTGGCACCATCTTCAGCGCTCAACCAGTTATCTATTATCTGTTTATCACACAGAAACTCCATGTCCTTGCTGGAAGCGATGAGTTTATCCATCAAAAACGCATAAGATGTTATTTCATGCGAATGGTGATGGTAGCATTGCTCAAAGGCAATGAGGTTCCTGAGCAGTGGATCTGTCAGCTCCCCAATTGATAGGTGTGGAATTTTAAAAGTACCTCTTTTGTATCCAAAATAACAAAAGACCCCCTTTTCGAATTCAATATTCATTATGCTGCCACTCTCAGAAACGCTTCGAAATTTAACTCCTGCCTGCGCTAGAGCAATTGCAGGAGGAAACTCCGAGTCCATATCATTTTCTTCCTCGTTTTCTCTCGTCTTCTTTTCTTTTATGTGCTCCTGGAATGGAAAAACTATCGAAGTTCTTATGAGATCAAGTATGTGCAGAGTATTGTAATTTGTGTCATGCTTGTTCCTATGAACATACCCTAGATAGGACTTGCAGTTGTGGTTCAGTGGTTTTGTGTGGTGAAGGCTCTGAGCGCGAGGATAGTGAGGGAGGGACTATATTTATCGGGCTCGGGGTCGAGGGTAAGGTTATATAAATGCTGGAGAACAAACCAAGGTAGCTGATTTTCAAGCAGCAACAGGTCATGGCATAGATATTGGAACATGCAATCCATTCTGAAGATGGGGTCATTTCCGTCAACATGTTCCTCATCAGAAGTTTTTCGTGCCACAAACTTCCGGAACAGTTCAATTACAAAGCAACCATCAAGTATCATCATTTCTACCAAGTCATTCTGGCTCAGATCAAGCGGTTCAGCATAAAATTCGCGGGCGGATTTCTCCAGCTGAGCAACGCTTTCGATTAAGTTTTTCAAGCTCACATTTGTTCTGCGTGACAAAAGATTATTTAAATACCACTGTTTCACATTTTCCATGTGTTGAAATTGTTTACCTCCATGGTGAAATGGACCAATTGAGACAAAATCAGGTTCGTATGCCTCTTGTTTATGTTTCTTGAGCACTTCGGGAACCCTGAAGATGCAGCATTTGGCAGCCCAGTAGGGTGAACCAGGGCAAAGCTTTGCTCTCATGGTGTTTTCCAATTCTTCAAGCCCCGAACCAGGGCAAAGCTTTGCTCTCATGGTGTTTTCCAATTCTTCAAGCCCAATACCTCCGTCTTCTATAGGAACTGAAATATGGTCTCTGGTATTACTCTGTGTACGATTCTCCATTCTCGAAACGCTGAAACAAGCTGCAATGTCAAGGAAATCGAATTAACTCTTATAAATAAACAATTAGTCTCTATGCACTACGATTGTGAGATAAGTAGAATTGAATTCAAATTTTTATATTTATACAATTTTTTTGACTGGAAATCAATACAGATAGTCACAACCAATTGTACTGCAACTAACCAGTTTTTAAGATTAACTTCAGCAAAAGGTCGTAGTGGTAGTGAAAGAAGGGATGCAAGGAGGATTTGTAGAAACTACAAATTGATTTTTGGGTAGGATTGAGATTTTGGGGTAAACAGATTGTTGCAGCAAAACTCAACCAGCTAGACTCTGAGAAAGCTGTATGAAATTGTTCACGTATTTCATCTTTTATAGACCTACACTTACTCGCCACTTCGCACATGTCAATTTTGTTTTTAATTATTTAATTTAAGAATCTAGAAAGAAATTCCCAAAACTAAAAGTTGTTTATAAAATAGGACTTTTGGGTTACTATTTTCAGTTTTTTTTTAGAGTTCTGCTATTTCCATCACTTTGTCTTATTTTCCCATCCACCTTATCTTCAAAATTTTAAAAACAAATTTACCCATTTGTAAAATGACTTCTAAGGACTTAGGGACAAAACCAATCTCCCTCACCTAAGCGTGAGCCACCATTTTATACCAGCCATTGGATTAATCTCACAATACGTAGAGCCTTTTATTAACTTAAATTCTTAAGCCGCACATTGCACACAACTTCTTCTTCCTCATCTAGCCATCTCTTTGTTTCCTAAAAGCTTCCCAAAGTTTTATTATTTTTCCACCATAAATCTGATTTCTCTCAAAAGTACTATCATTTTCTCTGCAAAACAAATGTGGGCAAAATTAATTTTCCCTTCAAAGCCTCCTATTGTTGTCCTTTTAAGATTTCATGAAATTCTATTTCATGAAGTTGTTTAATTTTCGTCTATTTGCTTCAAACAACAAGCGATTGGTATTATTTGATTAAGGGAGGTCAACATGATAGGAGCCTAGGGACCATAAGCATTCGAACCCATGCTTCATGTTATTCAACCACATATGTATTAAAACAAATAAATAAGAAATTAAAGAAGATCTAAAAGAAAATAAATACTCAAATCTCCTCTTCAACTGCACACAACCCCTCACGTCACCTCCTCCAGGATGAGAAAGAGGGATGAACTCTTGAAAGAACCACAATCGGCTTGGAGGAAAGAAGGGGGGTTTCCGGTCAGGAAGCAAGACGGATATAAGTTCGGTTTTTGAGAGAATTTTCTTTTAATTAATAATTAAATGGCATTTTAGGAATAATGGTGGGTGGAAAGATAAGGTGGGAGGAAAATGTTAATTTACTATATTAACCTTATTTATGAAAAATAACAATGTTTAATAAATTCATTAACTAATGGCAATTTTTGGTTTTTTGAATGTTTTACCCTTTTCTGCTAGCCCCTTGGCACACACGTGTGTGCATTCTATTTGGTTTTTTTTATTTATTTTTTATTTAAGAATTAAGAAAGAGAATCCAACCAAAAAAGAAAAAGAAAGAGAAGTTGTGTCCCATGAAAATAGGAATCCATATTTTTAATTTAATTTTTTTTTAATATGGAAAAATATTAATTTATTATATTATCTTTATTTAATGAAAAGTTTCAATGCTTAATAAATTCACTAGCCTCTCCGCATGTGCTTCCGCGCCTGCAAGATGCATTTTTTTTAACAAATTTAAATTTAAAAAAGATAACGGGTAGTTGTGTTCCATAAAAATATGATCTATTATCTGATTTTTCTTTTAATTTTAATTTTTTTAATATGAAAAAGTGTGAATTTACCATATTATCCTCATTTAATTAATAATTTTAATTCTTAATGTTTGCATTAACCAATGAAATTTTCTGGTATTTTGAATATTTCACCATTCTCTGCCTTTTTCTTTATATATATAGATTAATCAAGGGTATTTTTTGGTATTTTGAATGTTTTATCTTGGGACTCAAGATCCCCACATTGGAAAAATAACATATAATAGAGTGGTTTAAGAGCTCATGGGCACCCTTCTCTTACAAGCCCGTTTTTAGGGGCAAGTTCTACTCATGGGCTCTTAACCTTTGGTATCAGAGCCTGGTTTCACCACACAGCTGGGTCCAATTTCACGAAAGGGGCGACTATACGTTGGATTAAAGTGATATCAAGTCATTGAATATTGGTAGTTGAGTGAAGCTGCCTCAAAGGAAGGAAATGGCTACCACCAGGCCAGTGTCGATATAGTGGACCAACAAGTGGAATGGGCCACTTATAGGCTGGATTAAGATGATGTGGAGTCAAGGCTACAACCGGGCCAATGTCAATAGAGTGCACAACGGTAATATTTGATGAAGCTTTATTTCCATTGTTTGATGGCGTTATAATTGCTTTAATTCCATTGCTTGATGGCGTTATAATTGCGTTATTTCCATTGTTTTCATTTTTTTTTCATACTGGTCCCACAAGCTTTTAATGATTCTAGCTTTAATTGGTCTCATCAGATTATGTTATTCTTCATGGTCCCACTAGCTTGTATTCTTATTAAAATGTCAAAATGCCATATAAGCTATTAAATTTAAATTTAATGAGTACTATTATTTTCACCCACCTATTCTATTTTCTTATCCACCTTATCTTCAAAATTTTAAAGACAAACTTACTCTTTTGTAAAATAACTTTTAAGAACTTAAGAAAAATACATTAAAACAAATTTTTTTTTATAAAGGAAAACGATGAAAAAAAAACCTAAAAAGATTATTCAAAAATATCAAACCCCTTGGCTCTCATCATGCATACCTCCTGCCTTCTCCCTTCTCCCTCTTCCTCCACTGCACGACAACCATCTCCCTCACTTCCCCAAGCACCTACCTCTGTATTGTACCCCAGCCCAATCCATTCCCCGCCCTCCTCTCTCTCTCTATGGGAATTGAGTGCTTCCGTGATTCGAACTGTAAGAACCATAGGGGTATTGGGGGAAAAGAGAGGAGCTTGCTGAGGAGGACGACAAGGGAGGCTCTAGATTCTTCAACATCATTGATTTCTACATTGAATTTTTGTTGCAATTTTTGCTTGTATATGTGTTGAAATGATGTTTTTTTAAATAAATAAAAAATCGTTGATTGTTTATATAAATATTGTGTAATTGAATAAATATAAAAAAAATAAGTTCGGTGTAGTGGTTTGTGAGTGAGGCTTCCTCCTTTGAGGGTCAAGGTTCGAGTTTGTTCAATGACACAAAATCTTCTATTTATTAGCTAGAGTGAATAAAGGGCAACGGAATTGGTAGGTGGCGGTGGTTGGCGTGCGATAGGCGGCTACAGTTGACCAGAAGCGGGATTGCCAAAAGTGGACATGTGACATAGTGTGCTTGCCTAAAAAAAAATAATGGAATTTGCAAAGTGTCAAAACTCAATTTGTTTTGACTTTGATAACGTTTTCAGAGAATGTTTTCAAAAAATGAAAGCGAGAAAATGAATTTGTATTTTCAAGATTCAAGAATGCATTTTCTCTTTTCTTTTAATAATTCTAAAAATTCATCATTAAATCTGGTTGAAAAAAATGGTGCAATGGTTAAATTCCTGTATCAATTGTTAGGTTTTTTTTTCCCCCTGCATATACAAGTACAGGACAAACACTCGGTTTTTTTAATTAAAAAACAGAAAAGGCAACAAAAACCCTGGCTGCAAAATCTTCGTTAGTGTCTCGTTCAGCATCTTCAATCTCTTCATCCTCTGGCAGGCCACAAAGATAGAGAATATTGTGATATTTTATCAAAATCAATCCCAAATTTCCAGTGAATTGCCCATCAATATCACTCCCAGATTCCCAAATTTGTCACAGATGAGATAGAGACAACGACGAGGAATGGGTCTCAGACTGGGCTTGCGAGAGGTCGAGATGGAGGAAGACAGAGAGAGGGTGGGTCACTCCGTGCTTCTAAACCACTTCCCGTGTTTTCACTTTTCCTTCTGAAAACGGATAAAAGATTAAAAAGTTGTTCTCTAACTTAAAAAGAAAAGTTGAACTCGTTTTCAAGATTTGTTTTCTGCGTATGACGTTGGCAATAAAGCAACGATGACGTATCTTGATGGTGCAATTTTGAAAGACTAAAAACTCTTTGTGGATTGAACATCTAAAGCTTTTTTCTTAAATTGACCTTAGGTCCCTTCATGCATTCACATCATATATGAAAAATTGTTTTATGTAAAAATATTGACTAAGTATGATAAATGATTTTTCGAAATAATCATTTTCTCAAGATAATTTTTTGCGGCTTTTATTCCTTACACATCAAATAAGAAAATTTGATTTTCTGGGATTTTATTATGAAGTATATATTGACTTAATGTGCCATCATTTTTAGCCTAAATCATATTTTGCACTAAAACCGATTTTCCATATTTTGATTTTCTAATATTTTTATTTGAATTCAAATGGGGAGGTACTCCCTTATTTACATTGTAAACTGAAGTAAATATCTTTGTCCTTTTACTTGTATTTATTTATTTACTTAAATGCTAAAAATGGAAATAAGGTAATCTGTGTACTGTGCACCACTACCAGCTAAGCAAAGGGGCAATTTTAAGCACCTACAATAGTTTTTTCGACGAGGGGAGGTGCATTGCCTTAATAGGTTCGCCACTGAGTGTAGAGCATCTTCAATTTCTTTGGATGTGTACGCTACTATAACATCATATGATGTACACACATGATGTTATGGTTTGCATTATTGCCAACGTCATATGATGTTATAGTAGTGTACATATCCAAAATAATTGAAGACAACTCTGCACTGACATGTACTATTAACAACCTCATTGAATACAAAATATAATGCAAACAATGATATCGGTGGTGTATTTATTGAGGTTGTTAATAGTTCGTGTCAATGAGAGCTATATTCAATTTCTTTGAATATGTACACTGCTATAACAACATATGATGTTGGCAATAATGCAAACGATGATGTGCGTCGGTGGTGAATTCATTGAGGTTGTTAATAGTATATGTCAGTGCAGAGTTGTGTTTAATTTCTTTGGATATGTAAACTATAACATCACATTCTGTACACACAAGTTCATATGATTTTATATTTTTCACATATTCTGGATACACATATGTTTATATTTATATGATGTCATATTTTCACAAGTTGAATCTCCAGAACATGTGAAAAATGACTATTGAACTCGAGAACCCTTGATATTAAAAGACTTGGCGTCATTGTTAGCATTATTGCCGACGTCATATGATGTTACAGTAGTGTACATATCCAAAATAATTGAAGACAACTCTGCATTGACATGTACTATTAACAACCTCAATGAATACAAAATCTAATGCAAACAATAACATCGGTGGTGTATTAATTGAGGTTGTTAATAGTTCATGTCAGTGTGAGAGTCGTCTTCAATTTCTTTGGACACGTACACTACTATAACAGCATATGACGTTGGCAATAATGCAAACAATGATGTGCGTCGATAGTGAATTTATTGAGGTTGTCAATAGTACATGTCTGTGTAGAGCTATTTTCAGTTTCTTTGGATATGTACGCTACTGTAACATCATATTATGTACATACATATTCATATAGTTTTATATTTTTCATATGTTCTGGATACGCACAAAGAAAAACAAAAATTGAAGAAAGATTTGAAATAGTAATAATAATAAATCCGGTTTCCTGTTCACACAAATAAACGGGGGACTAAGTAAGCTCTGAATTTTTGATAATTTGACTAACTAAAACTACTACAAAAAAGGAAAAACACGACGGGAATTCACCGTCGTGTATTCTGTTTTCAAATGGTCGTGGAATCCACCACATCTTTTCCATAACAAAACCACGACGGTGAATAACCGTCGTTGTTAAAACAAAAAACGTCATCAAAAAATAAAAACCGACGTCTTTGTACTGCAAAAAGAAATAAAAAACAGTCGAGGATGAGAATAGACAACCAACTCCAACAAAAAAAACGTCGTTGAAAAGGAACATATGACATATATTAACAGAACATGGCCGCAAGATAAACATACAACGACGAGAACTAAAACTTAACGCCGTTAAATAAATCTTTAACGACAAATAGAAATATGACGTCTTTACAATCATAATAGACGACGTTATTGACACCTACTACGTCACAACATTTCCAACAACCGTCGTAAAATAAATTTTCCACTTCGATTTTTCTATGAATTATGACGTGGAAATAGATGTCAGGGTCATTACTTACGACGCATGTATTTACAGAGACGACGTTGAAATGAATAAACAACGTCGGTTCCAAATAAATGAGAGCTGTATTACAGAATTTATACGTCATATTTTGAAATATAATCGTTGTGTAATGACTCTGAAACGGCATCGTTTCTAATTCCACCGCCGTGTAAAATAATTTTAACGACTGATAGGAGCATATTTATGCGACTTTGGTATCTTATTTCTTTGCATTTACTTAGTTAATTCCCATTTATTAGAGTGATTTAGCTTATTTTCGTACTATTGTAGGTCCAGATGGCAAGATTGGCAAGAAAGGGCATTTTGGAGCATTTTAGAGCAGTTTTGGACTTGGAATGGGTAGCATATGCATGGGCCAAGATGGATGGACGTTTTTGAAGTTCGAAGAGGCTAGGAATGTGCTAAAAAGATGGGGAAATTAATTCAAGAATCAGCTTCTGGGAAGTAAAAAACCCTAACTGATTTTATTTTATTTTACCTTATCCTAATCCTATTCGACCTAAATTCCAGCTGTAAAAGGGGGGGATTAATTTCAGATTAGGAAACCTAAAAACCCTAATTTCGTGGGTTTCTATTGGGCCCTATTATTCCTAAAGAAATCTTCCAAACAAAACCCTAATTTCGTGGGTTTCTGCTGGGCCCTTTTACCCTAGATCTATCACATATATAAAGGAGGGGTTGCCGCAGGAGAAGGGAGTTCTTTTGGTGCCGTAGCAAGAAAGGAGAAAGGGAGAAGAAGAACTTGGAGCCGGAAACCTGCTGCATCCATTGGGTTTTTCAGAGTTCTTCCCTTGATTAGTTCAAATGTTTATTCTATATTGCTTTTCAATTATTATGAACATGTGTAACTAAATTTCTTCTTAGTTAGAGGTGAATTCGAAGCCATGGACATATGTTTTACATGAATTGATTACTTCCAGTTATGGTTTCATAAAGTATGAATGTGATTTACTTTTCTGTTTTATTGAGGACTTATTCTTGCATGTTTATTAAGGATGCATACTTAGTTTGTATGCAGGGATTTGATGCTAGAATATAAGGGAATTTCACCTAATCGTTATGAACTTATATTCACAAGTAGTAAAAGTCACTAGTCATGATTGTGTTAAGTAAATTCTTGGCAGGAGTATCATGCTTTTCATAGTTACAATTGTCTTGTCAAGGCTTATGATTTTCATAGAACTTAATGATCTTTGATATGTATCTCTATCATGCTGTTCATATAGGGAACTTGATAAGGATAATTTGATTGCGTCGCTGAGTCCAATTCAATGAACTTAGGAAAATCTGAGAGTTAATTAGTGCATTCACAATTAATTTGGGGCTTTGTCATTCATACTTTATAGAAAGAGTAACTGGAGATCGATTTGTGTGCATATGTTCCATGTGTGGAGAAGAATCCTCTAGCTATCCCTTAATCCATATTTCATTCACAACTTAGTTGTTTGCTGCTGTCAGTCTTACTTTAGTCTAAATCGTCAGAATTCCCCCCAATCATTGTTCCCTTAACTTAGTTTCCAGTTTAATAAGTTTAATTTGTGTTGATTAGCATCCCTCCTAATCCCCGGAATAGAACGATCCCTACTTACTCGTACTACGATTGCATGATTTATAGGGTTTAATTTGTGCGTTAGTTATTTCTCACGCCAAATTTTGGCGCCGTTGCCGGGGATTAGCAAAATTGCTAATCTTCCGTTTGTTTTCGTTTTTCTTGTGTTTCTGATTTTATTTTGTTTTCTTTGTTTTAGGTACTAGTTTATGACTCGAAGTTCACACCCTGTTCATGCGCACATATTGGACTTTGACGACGATTTCGAACGAACTTTGAGAAGGAAGAGGAAGCAGCCAGAACTCAATCCCTCTAGTTCTAGTTCCGAACCTGAATCTGAAGCTGAAACGGACTTTGAAGAGGAACAAGACATGGCTGTAGACAATCGAACAATCAAGGAACTTTCAGCCTCTGGATTGGACACTGCAATCCCTCTTTGCATTCAATACCCTAGGGCAGCTGTAGGTAAGACCGATGAGTTTGAATTGAAGTCGAGTTTGCTACATCACATTCCCAAATACCATGGGCTGTCCATGGAAGATCCAAACAAGCATTTGAAGGAATTTGAAGTAGTATGTTCAAGCATGACACCCATTAACGTGGATGGGAATATTTTGAAGATGAAAGCCTTCCCATTCTCTCTTATGGACAAGGCTAAAGATTGGCTCTATGAACTAGCACCTGGAACCGTTACTTCTTGGGAAAGTATGAAGAAAGCATTCTTAGAGAAATTCTTCCCAACTTCAAGAGTCATTCTTTTGAGGAAGAAAATTAGTGGAATTCAACAAGGCCCGGGAGAATCCTTTCCAGGGTACTATGAGCGTTTTAAGACGTTAGTTGCATCCTGCCCACAACATCAAATGAAGGAAGAGCTTTTAATTCAATATTTCTATGAAGGACTACTTCCACTGGAGAGACAAATGCTTGATGCTTCAGCGGGAGGTGCTTTGGTTGACAAAACACCAGTTGCTGCGAAGATCTTAATAGCAAACCGAGCTTTGAATGCACAACAATACGAAGGAGTTGGAGGGAGAGATCATACACGGCCAAGTCCAGTTAATGAGGTAAGTGCTATTTCGGAACTTCAATCTCAAATGGCTAATCTCTCTACTCTTATTTCGCAGGTTGTTGAAGGATCCAAAGTGCAAAGTACAGCCACTTGTAGCGTGTGCTCTATGCATGGACACCCCACTGATCAATGTCCTCAATTAATAGAGAATGGGGGATGGGAAAGTGCCAATGCCGTAGGTTATCAAGGCCAAAATCAACCTAGGTATGACCCATTTTCAAACACCTACAATCCGGGCTGGAGAGATCATCCAAATTTGAAGTGGAGGGAGCCTCAACAACAACAAGGCGGATATAGACAGCCACCTCCAGGGCTCTATCAAAGGCCGTTCGCACCACCACAACCTCAACCACAAACTGCCCAATCAAATTCAGGTTCGCCATTGGATAATGATCAAATGCTTAAAGTACTAACTTCTTTGACTCAGGGTTTACAAAATCAAGCCAAAGAGATGAGCGAAGTGAAGAAGCAAATTGGGCAGATGGCGGAGTTCATGGGACAGTTTAGAGAAGAAGGCAAACTACCTAGCTCAACCATTGTCAATCCAAAGGAGGTTTTGAAACGGCTAAAGCTATCATCTTGAGGAGTGGTAAAGAGATTGGAACCAATCCCAAAATGTCCAAACAAAGCCCAAAAGAGAACGAAAAGCTGCTGCTCAAAGAGAAGGAGGTGGACAAAGCCACGGCAAGGGAGGAACAACCCTTGCTGCAGTCCCCCAAAGCTCCTACACAACCAAACTCAGGTAAGGTTGTTCCAAATTCAACTCATTCTAACCCTATCCCACCAAATGTGCCTTTTCCTCGCAGGTTTATGCAATCTAAGAAAGAAGAGAATGAAAAAGACATCTTAGAGACTTTCAGGAAGGTACAAGTTAATATCCCACTTCTTGACGCAATAAAGCAAGTTCCAAGGTATGCTAAATTCTTGAAAGAGCTTTGTACAACAAGGAGGAGGATTTCAAACAAAGAAGTGGTAAGGGTAAGTGAGAATGTTTCCGCAGTTTTGCAACGAAAACTGCCACCTAAATGCAAAGATCCAGGTAGTTTCACAATCCCTTGTGTTATTGGTAACACCAAGTTTGAACATGCCATGTTAGATTTAGGTGCTTCCATTAATGTCATGCCATACTCTATTTATGCATCTATGAACTTAGGAGAGCTTAAAAATGATGGCGTTATAATTCAATTAGCCGATCGTTCTAATGCATATCCGAAAGGAGTTTTGGAAGATGTTTTGGTGCAGGTTAACCACTTGATATTTCCAGCAGATTTTTATGTGCTTGAGATGGAGGATTCGGCCCATTCTACACCATTGCCAATCTTACTTGGACGACCTTTCATGAAAACAGCCCGAACCAAGATCGATGTGTTCAAGGGGACGTTGACAATGGAATTTGATGGCAATATCATTGATTTCAATATTTCTGAAGCTATAAGGTACCCTATTGATGATCACTCTTGTTTCTCTATTGATGCATTTGATTCTTTGGCGCAGGAATATCTCGAATCCCTAGATAGGGATGTCCTTGAAACCACCATTGTTCAAGGAATTGAACTCATCAAAAATGGGGCCGAACCTAATCATGAAGAAATTGGCGAGATGGTGGCTGCCCTTGAGTCACTGCCACAATATGTGGTAAGTCTCCAATCCCAATCCCAATTCCCGTTTCTACTAACAAGTTGTTACCTTCGGTGATTCAGGCACCCACTCTCGAGCTTAAACCGTTACCGAATCATTTGAAGTATGTCTTCTTGGGAGATAAAGAGACTTTGCCCGTCATAATCTCTTCATCACTCACGGCAGTGGAGGAGGAAAAACTAGTTCGGGTGTTGCAAGAGTACAAAACAGCTATTGGATGGACTTTAGCCGACATCAAGGGACTTAGTCCTACAACATGCATGCATCGCATACTTCTAGAGGAGGGGGCTAAACCAACTCGAGAGGCTCAACGCCGACTCAACCCTCCAATGATGGAAGTTGTGAAAAAGGAGATCATTAAGCTTCTTGATTGTGGGGTCATTTATCCAATTTCGGATAGTCGATGGGTTTCACCGGTTCAAGTTGTACCAAAGAAATCAGGAGTCACTGTGGTAAAAAATGAAGAGAATGAACTTGTCCCCACTCGTATCCAAACAGGTTGGAGAGTTTGCATTGATTATAGGAAGCTCAACGCCACCACAAGGAAAGATCACTTCCCTTTGCCGTTCATTGATCAAATGCTTGAAAGGTTAGCTGGTCATTCTTTTTATTGCTTTCTTGATGGCTATTCGGGATATAATCAGATTGTTATAGCCCCAGATGACCAAGAAAAGACTACTTTTACTTGTCCGTTTGGTACTTTTGCTTATCGACGAATGCCATTTGGTTTATGTAATGCACCAGCCACCTTTCAAAGATGCATGGTAAGTATCTTTTCCGATTTCGTTGAGAAGATTATTGAGGTTTTCATGGATGATTTTAGTGTCTTTGGTGACTCTTTTGATGGCTGTTTAACTAATCTCACGTTGATATTAAAACGTTGCATTGAAACCAACCTTGTTTTAAATTGGGAAAAATGTCACTTCATGGTAAAACAAGGCATAGTTTTAGGACATATAGTTTCAGAAAAGGGAATTGAAGTTGATAAATCAAAAATAGGTCTTGTACGCCACTTACCCTCTCCCACTTCGGTGAGAGAGGTTCGTTCTTTCCTTGGACATGCAGGATTCTATAGACGTTTTATCAAAGATTTCTCGAAGATTTCAACACCCTTGTGCCGACTTCTACAAAAGGATGTGCCGTTTGTGTTTGATGACAAATGTGAGAAGGCGTTCAATCACCTCAAAGAATTGTTAACTTCGGCACCTATCATTGTTCCACCAGATTGGAGCCTTCCGTTTGAGCTTATGTGTGATGCTTCAGATTATGCTTTAGGGGCTGTTTTGGGACAACGGAAAGACAAGAAGCCACACGTCATCTACTACGCATCCCGAACCTTGAATGATGCTCAATTGAATTACTCCACCACTGAAAAAGAACTTCTTGCTGTTGTGTTTGCTTTAGATAAGTTTCGTTCTTATTTACTTGGTACTAAAGTTATAATTTACTCTGACCATGCAGCTTTGAAGTACTTACTCACAAAGAAAGAAGCCAAACCAAGGCTTATTCGCTGGATGCTTCTTCTTCAGGAGTTTGACGTGGAAATTAGGGACAAAAGAGGATGTGAAAATGTAGTGGCTGACCACTTGAGCCGTTTGGTACATGAAGAAGACCTTCTACCTATTCCAGAGGCATTCCCAGATGAACAATTGCTGACCATTGAGGTAAGTGAGCCATGGTATGCTGATATTGTGAATTATATTGTGTCTAAACAAGTTCCAAGCACCATAACTAGGCACCAACGCGATAAACTTAAAAAAATTGCACGGTTTTATGTGTGGGATGACCCTTATTTGTGGAAATATTGCCCTGATCAAATTATTCGTAGATGTGTGCATGATTCTGAGTTTAATTCAATCTTAACCTTCTGTCACACTTATGCATGTGGGGGTCACTTTGGTACACAACGCACAGCACTTAAGGTTTTAGAATGTGGATTTTATTGGCCTACTATCTTTAAGGATGCTAGAACTTTTTGTATGACTTGTGATCGTTGTCAAAGAACGGGCAATATAGGTGCAAAAGATCAAATGCCGCAAACCCCTATCTTTTCTGTTGAGATTTTGATGTTTGGGGTATTGATTTCATGGGCCCTTTTCCTTCTTCACATGGTTTTAATTATATCTTACTTGCTGTGGATTATGTTTCAAAATGGGTGGAAGCAAAAGCCACCCGTACCAATGATTCCAAAGTGGTTGCAGATTTTATTAAAACTAACATATTTGCAAGATTTGGAATGCCACGAGTACTTATAAGTGATGGGGGCTCTCACTTTTGTAATCGGACCATAGAGGCACTACTTAAGAAGTATAATGTCACGCATAAGGTTTCAACACCTTATCATCCCCAAACAAGTGGACAAGCCGAAGTTTCCAACCGGGAAATCAAGCAGATCTTGGAAAAGACAGTTGGACCAACTCGAAAGGATTGGAGCTTGCGTTTGAATGATGCATTGTGGGCATATCGTACTGCCTACAAAACACCAATTGGAATGTCTCCTTTTCGGCTCATTTATGGGAAACCATGCCATCTTCCAGTTGAGTTGGAGCATCGTGCACATTGGGCAGTCAAGACTTTCAACATGAACATTGATGCCGCTGGACTTCATAGGAAATTGCAATTGAATGAGCTTGAGGAAATTCGGACTGAAGCTTATGAGAACGCTCATATTTACAAGGAGAAAACAAAGGCTGCCCATGACAAGATGATTCGTAGTAAAACGTTTTCTGTGGGGCAGAAAGTGTTACTTTTCAACTCTCGCCTTCGTTTGTTTCCGGGTAAGTTGCGTTCTAAATGGATTGGTCCTTTTGTTGTTACTAATGTTTTTCCCTATGGTGCAGTCCAAATTCAAAGTTTTAAGACGGGACATGAATTCAAAGTGAATGGACACCGTTTGAAGCCATACTATGAGTCTTTTGAGGAGCATGTAGTGGAGGATGTACCCCTCCATGCCATTGGCCCTAGTGAAGCTTAAAGGGAGGTACCGTCCGGCTGGAAGACGTTAAAGCAAGCGCTTCTTGGGAGGCAACCCATGTGTTCAAATAGAAAGACAACGGAATCTCCGGGCTCTACAACCAGATTTGCTCTCTTTTACTCTTCTCTTTATTATTTTTACTTTGCTATAATTGTCTGCTGTCTTATTGCTTTTCTTGTTTAAAGTTTTCTTTTGAAACATTGAGGACAATGTTTAGTTTAAGTGTGGGGGGGTAAACAGAGTGCTTTTCGTGATTTATTTTCAAAATTCACCACCTATCACTACTAATGTTGTTATTCACTGTTTTAAAAAGTGTTTTCGTGCTTTTAAATTTAAAAAAAAAAAAAAAAAAAAAAAAATCAAAAGAGTCGTTTTTGTTGTTTATTTGTGTCTTAGGGTACCTTCCAACACAATGATGAGGATTTGGTTTTTAATTGCATGACTTTTAAAGAAAGTTACAAACATGGGTGGAAGTCTGATATGCTCTTTGGTTAATACTTAGTTATAGTTGTCAATTACGAATTCACATGTAATACAAAAACAAAAAAAAAAAAAAAAAAAAAAAAAAAAAGATAATTTTGTAACATGCTGGAAGGAAGGAACTCAAACTAACGCTGCAACCCTGAGAGACTTGAGCCTGTTCTTTGTTTGGAGAGTTATTAATCTTGATATTCTTGTTTTCTAAAGTCGTTGCATGATCTCATTATTTCTTTGCTTGGTTGCTACTTAGAATGCTTTTTCATCTCTTTAGTTCCAAATACTAGAACTCATGCCCGTTCCATTCAAAGCATCAAATTGATTGCGTAACAAATAACAAGATGAAGTTGTTTAGTTACCATCAGAGCCAAAAAGCCTTATCCCTTGCATATGCATTGTAGGTTTAACCATTTTGAAGCCTTATTTAGCTTATTTTCTTTGTTAGCTTGCATTATCCCTACCTAGCCTAGTATAAGAATATCCATACCCTTGTTCTTAAAGAATAGTCAAGCATGACTTGTTGGGAATTCCTTTTGATTTACGATTTGCAAAAAAAAAAAAAAAAAACAAGTGTGGGGGAAGGATTTGTTCCTTTGGATTAGTGTTGTCCAAAAAACAAAAAACAAAAAAAAAAAAAGAGAGAAAAAAAAGAAGGGATATGTGAATCTAAATAAATCTCCCCTTTGTGCTAAAAATTGGGGTGCTGCAATCACAAGTTGAATTCCAAGTGTTGATTTCATTGCTCTGTTTACTATTACTTTAAGAACCTTTGTTTATCCTTAACCTTTCTTTGTTAGCCAATACCTTAGCCCCAATACAACCCTTAGACTTCTATCTTGATTGTTATGTGTTTCAATATGTGGAGTTTGAAATTGGTATGAGCTTATGGAATCCCTGGTTCTCGCTTCTAAGTAGTAGCATTCTGTTCATGAGATCATATACATGTTCGTATTAATAATTCCAGAAAGTGCTTTCTTTGTTATAACATATGTGAGTGCTAGTCTACACATTTACATCAATCTTCTCACATATACTTAGTATAGGGAGTGTGGTCAGAAAATCTGTGTGAAAATAGAGAGTATATCGGGTGAGGAATTGAGTGAATTCTCTAAGGCATGTTACCACTTTCAAATGTTGTTTTAATTGATTAAATGTGAGCTAGTGAGTGTTTACTGTGATTAAGTATGAGCTCGAGGGTAAGGATGGCTCAAATCTGTGTGAGTAGTGATTTTTAACATGTCATGTTTCATTGGAAATCCCTGAGGCAATTGTTGGAAGGTTTAGGTTTTGTTTTGTTTTCTTTGTTCTGCTAGGGACTAGCAGAAGCTAAGTGTGGGGGAATTTGATAGGAGCATATTTATGCGACTTTGGTATCTTATTTCTTTGCATTTACTTAGTTAATTCCCATTTATTAGAGTGATTTAGCTTATTTTCGTACTATTGTAGGTCCAGATGGCAAGATTGGCAAGAAAGGGCATTTTGGAGCATTTTAGAGCAGTTTTGGACTTGGAATGGGTAGCATATGCATGGGCCAAGATGGATGGACGTTTTTGAAGTTCGAAGAGGCTAGGAATGTGCTAAAAAGATGGGGAAATTAATTCAAGAATCAGCTTCTGGGAAGTAAAAAACCCTAACTGATTTTATTTTATTTTACCTTATCCTAATCCTATTCGACCTAAATTCCAGCTGTAAAAGGGGGGGATTAATTTCAGATTAGGAAACCTAAAAACCCTAATTTCGTGGGTTTCTATTGGGCCCTATTATTCCTAAAGAAATCTTCCAAACAAAACCCTAATTTCGTGGGTTTCTGCTGGGCCCTTTTACCCTAGATCTATCACATATATAAAGGAGGGGTTGCCGCAGGAGAAGGGAGTTCTTTTGGTGCCGTAGCAAGAAAGGAGAAAGGGAGAAGAAGAACTTGGAGCCGGAACCTGCTGCATCCATTGGGTTTTTCAGAGTTCTTCCCTTGATTAGTTCAAATGTTTATTCTATATTGCTTTTCAATTATTATGAACATGTGTAACTAAATTTCTTCTTAGTTAGAGGTGAATTCGAAGCCATGGACATATGTTTTACATGAATTGATTACTTCCAGTTATGGTTTCATAAAGTATGAATGTGATTTACTTTTCTGTTTTATTGAGGACTTATTCTTGCATGTTTATTAAGGATGCATACTTAGTTTGTATGCAGGGATTTGATGCTAGAATATAAGGGAATTTCACCTAATCGTTATAACTTATATTCACAAGTAGTAAAAGTCACTAGTCATGATTGTGTTAAGTAAATTCTTGGCAGGAGTATCATGCTTTTCATAGTTACAATTGTCTTGTCAAGGCTTATGATTTTCATAGAACTTAATGATCTTTGATATGTATCTCTATCATGCTGTTCATATAGGGAACTTGATAAGGATAATTTGATTGCGTCGCTGAGTCCAATTCAATGAACTTAGGAAAATCTGAGAGTTAATTAGTGCATTCACAATTAATTTGGGGCTTTGTCATTCATACTTTATAGAAAGAGTAACTGGAGATCGATTTGTGTGCATATGTTCCATGTGTGGAGAAGAATCCTCTAGCTATCCCTTAATCCATATTTCATTCACAACTTAGTTGTTTGCTGCTGTCAGTCTTACTTTAGTCTAAATCGTCAGAATTCCCCCCAATCATTGTTCCCTTAACATAGTTTCCAGTTTAATAAGTTTAATTTGTGTTGATTAGCATCCCTCCTAATCCCCGGAATAGAACGATCCCTACTTACTCGTACTACAATTGCATGATTTATAGGGTTTAATTTGTGCGTTAGTTTTTTTTTTTTTTTTTTTTTTTTTTTTTTTTTTTTTTTTTTTTTTTTTTTTTTTTTTTTTTTTTTTTTTTTTTTTTTTTTTTTTTTTTTTTTTTTTTTTTTTTTTTTTTTTTTTTTTTTTTTTTTTTTTTTTTTTTTTTTTTTTTTTTTTTTTTTTTTTTTTTTTTTTTTTTTTTTTTTTTTTTTTTTTTTTTTTTTTTTTTTTTTTTTTTTTTTTTTTTTTTTTTTTTTTTTTTTTTTTTTTTTTTTTTTTTTTTTTTTTTTTTTTTTTTTTTTTTTTTTTTTTTTTTTTTTTTTTTTTTTTTTAAAATTGGGGGGGGGGGTTTTTTTTGTTTGTTGTGGGGGGGGGTTTTTTTTTTTGGGGGGGGGGGGGGATATGGAGAGTTCTGGCTGAGTGCCCAGCATCAACAATCTGACCAACTTGCCATGTCTGTGGCATTCCTTAAGGGTGTGCCAATCCTTCTCAAGCCCGAAAACCTCAAGAAACGCGGCAGAGCTATCACTGATCTCAACAATGTGATCATGTCCACATTGCAAGTGATTGATTGCATCTTTCAATTGGAGAAGCATTCCATCACTTATAATGATGTAAAGGAGTTGAGAGAAATCTTGGCAAATGCAAGGAAAGATATCTGGGTGAATGTCTATTGGTGTATCATTACAACCGTAGCTTGCGCCACTAACATCACCCTCCTTACTAGTGATGAGTAAGTTTCATCCACATCTTCTCCATGCTTATACATCATGTACGCCTAATTAATCAATTGTTTAGATTGACAAGCAAACAATATAACATATACATCGCCCAAGTATCATTTACCAAGAACTGATTTGAACGTAGTATAACTGTTTTAATTCATTCATATCAGGGGGAACTCACACGACCTTGTCCAGTATTCTCAGAAGATCACAATCATCCTCAGTAAACTTAAGCAACAGCTTAAGATCTGTGAAGAGGAAATAGGTGGGTTTACTTGATGAGCATTCACGAGGAAATACATATGTTGTTCTTGCAATACAATGCTGACATTCCTTTTTTGTATTATTTAATACAGAGAAGTTACGGCCCTACAAGAAGCTCAAAAACCTCTTCCTAATTCCTACTGAGATTATCGAGGTTATGAAGATCCTAATCTTTTCAACCATTTTCGACGGTTCCATTAAGCAACTGGTTTGCTCTCTCATCATAGCACATTAATTTCTTTTGAATTTTGAATGAATAAAGATACAAATTTGTGTCATGCACTTGATTTTATAATTGCGTGCATAATGTTAATTTCTAACAGGTTCACATCGACATCCTAAGGACGAAGAATGTGTTGTTGTTCATTTCGAGCCTAGAGATATCTGAGGATTATATCGCTTGTCTCAGACCCATATATGATTTTACAAAGGATAATAATGAGTATAAGATTGTTTGGATTCCTATAGTAGAGAAGTGGACTAAAGTTCTGCAACGCAAGTTTGAGGCCCTGCGGGCTAAGATGCCATGGTACACAGTAGGCCAGGCTGGTGCCCACATTGCAGGCATCAAGTACATCAAGGAGGATTGGAACTTTAATGGTAAGCCTATGCTGGTTGTGTTGAACACAAAGAGTCCGCTCCAACATTTCAACGCTCTGCGCATGATTTCGATAATGGTTTTCCGCGTTAATGGATGGCATTAAGATATCCACGTGGGTGAGTTCTTCCTAACAAATTGATGGATGTTCATTTTATAATTTACGTTGTCCATGCTAATTGCACATACACGTAATGCCTGCACACACAAAAAATCAAATAGATATAAGAAATTTGTTGTGTTCTATAGTCTATAGGCAAACACTGTGTATCAAATAAAAATCGAACGACAATAAGGGTAAGCAAATGACTAAATAACTTCTGATTTGGTCCCTTCTTTTTTTTTTTCCTTTTTTCCGTGGATGATTTTAAAGGAGAACCTAAAAAAATTAGGATTCAATCGCAGGCTGACGATAATATGTTCTCATGAAAAATTAGGATTTAAAGTGATCACTTTCCTTAAATGCAAACATCGCGCAGTTGGAAACTAACTGTATATATACATTTTATTTCCCACAGAACAAAGACGATTACATTTTCTTCTACGGAGGGGATTCAGTGTGGATGAATCAGTTCAAGGAGAAAGCAACTGCCCTTATAAATGATGAAATAAAAAATGAACCAAAGATTTCTATTGAGTTATATCCTGTGGAGAAGAACGCAAATAATGACAGAGGGGATGACAGCTTTAGCACCTTCTGGTCCGCCATAGAAAGCATGTTCCATGTCAAGGTTATCAATAAGCAGATTGAGGACGTGGTAAAACAAGTTCAGAAGCTGCTTTCCTACGAAGATGACAAGAGTGGATGGGCTGTTTTCATCCAAGGCCGTAGGCTTGTGGCCCTTGGTGGTTCGACAATGTATACGGTTCTCGAGAAATACCACACGTGGAATCAGAACGTAACACTAACAGTAGAAAACTTTGGACAAGTTTTTAATCAACAGCATGAGACGGAGGTTGAAGAAACTGGTCACGTCTGCAGCTGCTTTAGCATCCCAGGTGCAACTGGAAGCACCCTAGAGGCAATGGTATGCTACGAGTGTGGCAATTCCATGGAGACATTCTTCAGCTATAAGTGCTGCCATGTCAAGAAGAAGGCGCGTTTGTGTTGGCGAGATATCCTAGCCCTATTAGGATATTTCCTTATTATTCTATTAGGATTTTATTTATTTCATTTTGTATAAATATTATGTAATTAGGACTTTTCTTATTTCATAGTATAATTCTACTAGGGTTTGTAACCTTGTATTATAAATACTTCATTTCGGAGAATGAAATATATATGAAAAATATTCTACCCATATTGTTTGACTTGGCATCAGAGCCGACTTTCTGGTGACCTTTGGGTTGGGTTTGTCGTTTTTGTTTTGTGTTTTTTTTTTTTTTTTTTTTTTTTTTTTTTCTGTTGATGATGATGATCCAAAGACATGGTGGGTGCTAATGCGTCTGCAACAAAGAAGGAACGTCCCTCGCATGATTACTCTACTTCGATTACTTCTGATTATGTCTCTTGGTCTCGTGGTGCGTGTATTACAATTACTACTAGTCGTATGGCAAGTTGGATTAATGGGAAGAAGCCTGCTCCGTCTTCAGATTCCGCTGTCTATGCCGAATGGGAAGAAGATAATTGCCTGGTGCAGTCATGGCTTTCAATCCATGACTAAGCCAGTTCGTGCCTTGTTTGAACATGGTGATACTGCTTTTGATATATGGGAGGCTGCCCGAAAGACCTATATTGTGACTCAGAATAGTTCTCAATTGTTTCAACTCCGACGGCAATCCATACGTACATGTTAGAATGGTGATTCTGTCAAAGTGTTTTATGAAAAACTCCATGCTATCTAGCAGGAGATTGATTGTCTGCGTCCACATGAGTTTAAGTATGATGATGATGGGGCTCGTCGTCTGAAAGAAATTGAAGCCAACCGAGTTTATGATTTTCTTGGAGGACTTGATCCACCGTATGATGGTGTCCGTAGCCATATCCTTGCTCTTAGTCTTATCCTGCCCCCTATCGAAGCCTATGCCATGATCATGGAGGAAAACACCCGTCAGTCTGCTATGCTTGGAGGAGGTTTAATGGCCCTCAAAGTTGACCCAACACGTCAACGACCGATCGCACAGCACGACACGACCGGTCGCTCCTCGTCCATAAAATTTTCTTCTCCTGCAGGGTCTCCTCCTTCTGGCTCTACCCCTAGCTCTCTTGACGGTCCTCCTAAGTGTCGTCATTGTAGTGAGAATCATTACTTTGAGAAGTGTTTTAAGGAGCATGGTTATCCCGATTGGTTTGCTGACTACAAAGCTCGTATGTACGGTCCCAAGGCCGCCTGCACAGTGACTCAAAATGAGGCTCGTCCTCCGGCCCCGTCTGCAAATCTGTGTGCTTCCGATACCATGCCATGTATGGGTTCTAATACTTGGATAATTGACACTGGTGCTTCTGATCATATGACTTATGATGATAATATGTTTGATGAGTTGTCTCATAACCCTCGTGACCTTTATATTACTAGTGCTAAAGGTTTACCTTCCTAAGTTACCAGTGAAGGCCCCATCCACCTCACTTCTTCTTTACCTCTGTCCCATGCACTCTTCGTTCCAAATATTCGTTGCAATTGGGCTATGCCGTCCCTAGTCGTGCGCCGGACATCTTTGGTCCGAGGATCCTGAGGGGGCGACTCCAGCTGGGTTGGAAGTGGCCGCTGGACCTGTTGCACATCGTTCTGCGGCTTTATCTACTGGGCCACCTGAACAAGGGGCTCGGCTGTTGCGACCGAGCTGGGCGGCATTAGATAAGCGTCGTAGGTTTGACCGGGGTGCGTATGTGTTGCTGTTGGAATGGTTGGACCGTACTGAATGTGGGAGCCTGACGGAAATAATGACGCTTGTAACGGTGAAACGGTCGGATTGCTCTGACCGTACTGCTGTGACGAAGCAGCGGTCGCGTTGCTTGGGCCATGATGGGTCTGGACGGCCATGACGTGAACTGGGCCAAGTTGTTGGACCACGGAATGCGTGGGGCTGCTTTGCCCCAGTGATACGGCCAAAGCATGGAGTGGGCCGTACGCTGTTTCTGCTGGGCAGGTCAGTCCGGGATTTACCCATGTTGGCTGGGATTGCCCACAGCTATTTGTCGGCGGCTGAGAAGGCTGGCCGTAGCCTGACGCTTGGGTGCGGTCAGAGGCACCGAGGCTGTTGCTTTCGCCGTAGAGCTCAAACCTCTCGCGCTCTTGGCTTCTCTGTCAGGCTCTAGGAGGCGTCGCGGATGACGTGACCGACATCCTCTCCTGAAAAAGCGTCTGTAGCTCTGAGGAGAATCTGTCCATTGCGGCCATAAAGGATGTCTCTATCCTGTAGCCCTGCTTAGCCATCAGACCCTCCACTACTGCTTGCTCTTGCATAGACTCGGTAGCACGATCCGTCGTTATTGAAACGCTGGCCGAGATTCTGACCGCGTGTTCGGTCTTGGTGATAGTGTTTGGTGAGGTGGACTCAGGAGCCTCGGAAGTCATTTCGACTGTTTTGTTTTTGAGCTTTGCCTATGCCCTAGTTTCCACCATGAGATTTTGACAAGTGTCCCACCGGGCGTGCCAAAAGTGTTGGCTGCGCAAATCTCACGGCCTTGTGCTCCGGGCCGAGGGGACGTGCTTTAACACGTGGCGTCCTTCTTTTGGATGCGGTGCGGTTGTGCGCGGGCGTGCCAGCACGGTCTACCGTGTGTCGAGATGGTGATGAGGTTTGGGTAGAAGATGGTTAAATGATGCGCCTGTTTTGAGTTCGACTCCTAATCAAACGATTGTGGCCGAGAGAGGAACTGATCTCGGCCGTCAGGTTCACGGCCTGAGCTACAAGGCCGTTTAGTGGTGGTGTTGGCGGCGGGTTTTAGGCGATGCTCCGGCGCGTTGCTCAGAGAGCGACGGTCGTATGATATATGGGGTAAATGAGATGATAACAGAGATGATGCTCCGGCGCCTTGAAAATCAAGGGTCGTATGATATATTGATGAATGGATTTTTCTTACAATCTACCACTACTCCTAGGAAAGCAAATAAAGGTATTGAAAGTGCATTACAGGAAAATATAATTTGCTCCATATGAGGCTTTTGGTTTGGTGTTTGAACCCTTTGAATGTAGTGTTGAGCTTAGTATTTATAAGGGGAGTCCTGGAAGGACAATCGAGGCTGAAAAGACCTGCGTGGTGGAGCCTGATCGGGGCAAGTGGGTAGTCAAATCGGCATTTGGGATCGTGAAGCATGATGGTGTGACCCCCATAAATCCAGATAAATTTCGGCCACCGCCCTGATCGTGGGTTCTGCCCTTTTGGCCGTGGGAACGTATTTAATGCCCTGGTCTGGTGGTTGGTGATCTGACCTCAAGTTGTAAGATTACTTGTGAGAATGTTTGCGCCTAACCACTCTGATTTCCATCACCAAATCCTGACTTCAGTCACTTCCCTGGTGCATTAAATGCTTCTTGCGACCAGTGGATTTGTTGCGATAGTCAGAGGCATTACTTCATTAAATGGGGCATGGGACCCTGAGGCCACGTGGTGATTTAACCAAAGTATCTTCGGTCGTGTCTTTTACGGCCTTCGGCTTCGGCCTACAATACCGCGATCGCGAGGCCGAGAGGATTCTGCCTTTGCAAATTTTCTTTTGTTTTCAGGAAGGCGAAATGCCTAATGAAACGTGGCCGTTTCAGTTCATGAGTAGGTGCTGGGGCCAAGAGGAAGTCCCGTCAGTCAGTTTATGACCATGATTTATTAGGCACTAACATTTGCGCTACGAATTTTTTTTTCCGTTGCTGGAGTGTGTTTTGCACGACGAATTTTTTTTCGTCGCGCAAATAGTAAAATGTAGTAGTGAAGTTTGAAGTTGATCTTTAAGTACCTCAAGTTCTTGTGTAGAAAAATCATTCGGGTAAAGTTGAGCAAGCCGAATGAGCTTTTGCTTATCAAAACAAGAAAATGAATCATTTGGACTCAGGCATGCCAAGCAAAGTAACAACTCAGTGTTGGCCTCATTGGAACGACTATTCAGCTCTTGGAGTTGCAAAGCTATCACTTCATAGAAAAAATCAACACGATAATAATGCATATTTGTGATTTTTGGACCATTGCGTCGTGACCTCCCTCGAGCTAGAAACATATCATCCATGTTAGGAATATCAATACTTTGATTCTTGCAAAAAACAGAAACTTCCTCCAACAAAGAATCTCATCCATTCTCCCTCATGTTCTAGTATTGTTGCTTACATAATTCAACTAAATCCATGGCATTCACAATATCTTGATCATCCCTCTGTAAGGCTTGTGACAATGCATTTGTGATTCCAAGTATATTCCTCATCAAAAGCAAACTGAATACAAAATCAAATGATTGCACTAATCCTAGCAGTATAAATGCCTCATGTTTTTTTTATCAACACTCAATCTATCATTTGCAATTTCATCAAGCACATCAATTGTAGATAAGAACATGGTAATAAAGTTTATCAACGTACCATAATATGAGCCCCAACGTGCGCTTAATCTCTGTTGCTTGATTTAAACATTTCCCACTAGAAAGCTCCCCATTGGTCAATGCTTTAGCTACTTTGAGAGCTTGTTTATCCCAAAGAATGTCACGACGCTTCGAGGATGCTCCAACAATATTTACCACATTAGAAACTAAGGTGAAGAAAGCACCTATGAGGCTGTGCTTTTTTGCCAAACCCACAATAGCCAACTGAAGTTGATGTGCAAATCAGTGAACATAGTAAGCAGACTCATTTTCCCTCATAATAAGTGTCTTCTGACCATTGAACTCTCCACTCATATTACTGGTCCCATCATAACCTTGACCTCGTAATCTGCACATACTCAATTTATGTCTAGAAAATAATGCATCAATACTTGCTTTAAGTGACTCATATGTGGTACTTGTAAAATGTTCAATACCTATGAACCGTTCAATCACACATCCTTTCTTGTCTACGTAACGAAACATAACAGCCATCTGCTCTTTTACTAATACATCACGAGATTCATCAACTAAAATAGAAAATAATGCATCATCCATATCTCTAATAATAGCATCAGTAGTTTCAACTGCTGCAGCATTGACAATGTCTTTCTGAATCTTAGGTGAAGTTACTTTAAGGTTTTCAGGAGCATTTTTCAAAGCAACAACTCTAACTTCCTCATTGTGATCAATAAGAAATTGCAAAAGCTCAAGAAAATTACCTTGGTTGCTTGAATCCTCAGACTCATCGTGGGCACGAAAGGCAAGACCTTGTCGTAGAAGAAATCTAATACAATCAACAGATGCATTCAATCTGATTTTGTAGTCAATTTGAGATTGATGTGAGTTCTTATGGAAAACATTTTCAATATGTTGTTTTTCATTCATTAAGGCTTGACATTTTTTCAGAGCTTGGTTATGGGAAATGTTGGGACCTCCAACATGAACTTGAAATCTTTCCTTTTTCTTCCAATTTGAAAAACCTGTACCAACAAATGAGTCGCCTCCAGCTTTCTCTCCCAAATTTGTTTTAAAAAGATAACAACATAAGCAAAATGCAACATCTTCTTTGATGCTATATTCCAACCAATAAGGAAATTCATCAAACCATGCCGGGTTGAATTGTCTTGACTCTTTTCCAAATTTCTTTTAAGGGATATCATGATTTCTAGGCTGACAAGGGCCTTTTTGTAAGTAAGCTCTTCTAATTTCATCTTGAATGTTCGAATTGTAATCTAAAATCCGAGTTTGTAAACCAAGATCATAATGAAGATCTAACATATTGATTTCTATGCGACTTTGCTTTGAACTATCATCACTTCTCCCAATAGGTCCCGACAACTCCAACTCATATTTTCTTTTAAAATATTTTTCCATAACTGTCATAAATAGTTTATATTATTTTTCATCAAGATATATATATATATATATAGATAAATATAAAATCAATCATCAGTACAAATTGAATGCATATAAATAAGAATATAATGAAATTAGTTTGTAAAAAACAACTAAGTACTAACCTGTAAAATCAATTAAAGTAGCGAGTTTGATTTGTTGGGTTGTAGACTTCTGCCAAATCACGAGTTTGGCGGCTGAGTTCTCCACAAAATTACAAAATGAGTGAACTTGGTGGGATCTCTATTCTTCTTTTTTAACATAGGGTTTAGGGTTTTTCTTTTTTAATATAAGTTTTGGGCTTTAAGTGTGTATTGAATGGGCTATGTGGGGGCTTTACTTGGAAAGGACCTAAAAATAATTAAAAATTATGAATTTAAGTGGGATTATACGGTTGAAGGGTTTTTGGTCAGTGTGGGCAGCTGCCCACAGTTGTCTTTGATTGGGTCCGCCAGTCGAAATTATTAGAAATAGAAACATAATTTAAACAACAAAAATAGAAAGAAAACATAGCTAATTGAAATTACATGAGCGTGCTCCCACAACTGATGCATGAAGTCTTCTGAAATATCTTTCCAATTCTCTAATGTTATAGGCACCAACTCCCTTCTTGTGGCACCAAGGAGAGAAGCAAACTTAGCTACATCTTCCCCATGTGGCTGGCCTCGAGGATCTTTCCTTTGCTAAGATATTGCAATCGTGCTCGACCCCTAGGTTTCCTCTTTTCTTCTTTTGTCTCAAATTCACCAACCTTGCCTTTTCCTTTGGATGACACATTAATTCCTTATGTAGTAGGCATGTTTTGCTATAAATATTAGTTATTAACAGCACGCTTTACTATCTTTTTAAAGCGTGCTTTGTCATATACCGTAAATATAAGTTATTAACGACATGCACAAAAAGCGTGCCGTAAATATCAAGGCGTAAAAGCTTCAATTTGGTGTAGTGTATTATTATTTCAATTTCTGCTTCAATTTTCGTTTTTCTTTGTGATTTAAGCATTCTATGAAAGCCAGACAGTAGTTCCGCATCTACATTACAAGCAAGAAAGAGGAATAGCAATAGACAAAGAAAACTAAAG